ATATATATATATATATATATATATACACACACACACACACACATACAGTATATATATATATATATATATTTGTTAGTTGCTTGGATTTGTACTTGATCTGCCAATTTTCACTGGCTGCATCATATAATTTTTTTTAAGCAGCATATTTTTATATCTATAAATATTTTTATGTTTTTACACTATTGAATTTTTTTTTTTTTTACTTCTTGTTTTACTTCGTTCCAGCTTTTTCGAAGTTTTTTTTTTTTTGGTGAAAAAAATAGTATACCCCATAAAATCTGTAGGGGTTTATTTTTCTTTTAAAATCATTTGTGCAAACACTTAAATCATTATAATTACATTGGGCATACTGGCACAGACATTTAAAGGTAACTATGTTGCCTCGTGAGGTTTGTTCGGACACAGTAATGCAAAAGCACATATTATATTCGTACAACAGGGCACTTCCAGTGCTTAGAACTAAAAGTCAAAAATATATGTGTTTATCTTTGACTGACTGGCATCTCTTATGTAAGAGGAGAGCTGTTAGTTTGGTTTGAGTGGTTGTTTGTGTGTTTGAATGCAACCCCATTTTTCTTTATTTATTTACGTGTGTGTATGTTCTGTGAGAGTGAAAAGAGCGCTCGCTTAGGCTCATCTGTGGAGTAGAATGGGTCTGTCTCTTTTTTCTTTGGAATTTGTGAGCGGCTTGATGTATTTGACATATGCGTGACAGGCCACTGCTCCTCAAGACTAGCCCACAAAACTGTACTGTCCAGACCAGCTCTGTGTGTGTGTGTGCATGGGATTGTGTTTGCACATCAGAGCAGCCAAGCGTTGCCACCGGTGAAAAAAAAAATACACACAAACACACAAATCCACTGGCCTTTTTTTAAATACCCATCGCTTCTGTCATGAGATAAATTTTGACACCAAGAATGAGTGTGTGTCAAGTTGTCAGTCTGTGTCAAGTTGTCAGTCTATCTCTCTCTCTTCCTTCTACGCATCTACTTTGTCTCATTCTCGCCCTTTTCCTCTGCCTTATTCTTCCCTTCTTTTTGTCTCTCTCAGGCCTTTAAGTCAAGTCTGTCCATGAATAGTGCATGTTATTTTGTTTTGTAGATTTCTCTTTGACAGTCTGCCTGTCCTTTTTCTTTTTGTTGTTTTGGTTTAACGGAAATAACCCGAAGAATCAAGTCCAGACCGGGCCTGAACCGAACCCTCCAGAGGAGCTTTTTCTCAAGAGTCTCCTTATGCCATTATTGCAAAACCTTCCAGTAACTTAAAACAGTTATACAGCCCTATTTTCACTCACTAACACATCCGCACACTCTCGCACGTGCACCTGTGTCCTTTCTTAAATCAGGACGTAACCTTTTTAATGCCTTTACTTTAATGTTTTTAACAGGACATTATATTTTACTCTAAAAGTCAAGACCCATTTGGGCAAAGTCTAGCCGCTCGGCGCACTCACAAAAAAACCTTCCCATGTGAAAACACTGCCATTATTAACATGGCTGAAACTCGGTCTCCGTAAATGTCAGGGAATATAGGGCATATATATATGGCCCTCTTTCTCCGTTAACGTCTCTGCTGTGCGTCTATGTTCTTAAGGGAACCGCACTGCTTGATGGGGGTATCGGGCGCGGGTGCCGGATAAGAATCAAGTCCAGACCGGGCCTGAACCGAACCCTCCAGAGGAGCTTTTTCTCAAGAGTCTCCTTATGCCATTATTGCAAAACCTTCCAGTAACTTAAAACAGTTATACAGCCCTATTTTCACTCACTAACACATCCGCACACTCTCGCACGTGCACCTGTGTCCTTTCTTAAATCAGGACGTAACCTTTTTAATGCCTTTACTTTAATGTTTTTAACAGGACATTATATTTTACTCTAAAAGTCAAGACCCATTTGGGCAAAGTCTAGCCGCTCGGCGCACTCACAAAAAAACCTTCCCATGTGAAAACACTGCCATTATTAACATGGCTGAAACTCGGTTTCCGTAAATGTCAGGGAATATAGGGCATATATATGGCCCTCTTTCTCCATTAACGTCTCTGCTGTGCGTCTACATTCTTAAGGGAACTGCACTGCTTGATGGGGGTATCGGGCGCGGGTGCCGGATCGGGGTCACTGATGTAACACCCCCCACCATCCCACCTGAGCGGGGTGAAAAAAAACAGTCTCTCTTGCACCTGTGGTGAAGAAATAGAGGACGTGTATGTTGGAAACGGGACAGGAGTTTGTGCACTTGAGAAATTTATTTGGGTATCGGAGTTTTACGCCGGTTGCTGTTGGATTTACAGGTTGGAATGGAATGCAGCCCAATGAAACGCACTTTGATGGGGAGAGCAGGTTGAGTTTTAACAGACGAGCGACGCTTAGAAGGCCGTAGTTTATGTGGCTTTGAGAAGACCCTCTGCTGCCTTCTAGAGCCGTAAAAACCTGAGATGCCCGTGAACAGGAGCACTATGGGATGGCAGCAGAGGGTTCTGGGAAATGTGCTCTGACTGGGAAGTGATCCTTGTGAAAGTGTGTGCATTTGTCCTCTTTTGGAGCTTTTCAATTTTGTAGATGTGTGAATAGAAATATAATAAAGCCCAGTATGGACTTTCCAATATGCTGCTTCATGAAAATACTGATTATGTCCTGAGAAAACTTTGAATATACACTGCTTTTTAAAGAATAAAAAAAATTAAATTCTTCATTTATTTGTAATTGTGGTTTTTGTCATCTCTACAGAGGCGGAGGCTTATACAGGAACTGGGAGAGCAGAGGATTCCCTACCTTTCTCCTGCAGACCCAGGATTTCAGGAACTGGTTAGAAATTCATACAAATCTCCACAATGCATCATAATTTTCGATCTATATGTACTCTACTGTTCAAAAGGTTAGGTTCAAGGTTCAAAAGGTTATATATATATTTAGCACGGATCTATTAAATTGACTAAAAGTGACAGTAAAGACATTTATAATGTTACAAAAGGTTTCTATTTCAAATAAACTGTTCCTTTGAACTTTATATTCATCAAAGAATCCTGAAAAAAAAAAGTGTTTTGGTTTCCACAAAAATATTAGGCAGCACAACTGTTTTCAACATAATAAGAAATGTTTATTGGGCATCAAATCAGAATATTAGATTGATCTCTGAAGGATCATGTGACGCATGATGTTGTAAATTTAGCTTTGTTGTCACAGGATTAAGTTACATTTCAAAGTAATAAAATAGAATATTTTTATTTAAAATTTCAATATTTCTAAATATCATATTTTACAATCAATGTCAAATAAATGCAGCATTGGTGCTGCAAGAGCTTAAGATACTTATTTCAAAACATACAATATTTCTGACCCCAAATTTTGGACAGTTGTGTATAATGTAAAGATTTCCATGGGTTTCCACAGTCATAGAAAACCGCAAATCATAATTGGTGTTTTCCAGGTTTGGAAAAATCTGAAAGGTAAGTAATTTTGGCACCACTAGCATCAACAAACTGAACTGCAGAAACACACAGCTGTTTTAAACAAGTTTCATTCACTAAATGATACATTAGCAGGTCAATCTGAAGTTTAGAATTATTACTATTAACATTGTCTAGTAGTGCCAAACGAATGGAAAAATTAAAGTCTTGACCAGAAAGTACGGGGACTCCCGTAAAGATCAGGACAGACTTCTCACATACTGTGTTTTTTTGTTTTGTTTTTACTAATTGCATTGTTATGTTTGCTTGTGGCAGTGTGTAATTTGTGCGCAATCTTTGTGTAATCTGACAGTGGGACTCCAGTTATGCAGGACTGGCTTTACGACAGTCTAGTGCCTTGCCAGATGGTCTCCATGAGAGAGTGCAGTCTGCTTTGATAACTCTTCAGCGGTGTGGATGTCTCCTCCGAGATCTTGTCCGAGTCCGAGACCGGGACGTCTTCACAGCCGTTTCGCGTGCTCTCGTGGGTCAGCCGGGCTACACATACCGTTATCTGAACACCCGTCTGTTCACCATCCCTTGGCACTGTGAGGGAGAAGAAGGCCAGAAAGATGAGAAAGAGAAACCTTGCTGTGACTCCGACCTGAGGGACGCTTGCAAAGCATTGTGGGAGCTCAATCAGTTCTTTTGCTCAGATGTGAAGCAGCAGACAAATGCAAGAGGCGTCAAGCGTTCCCGCAGTGACACCGAAAACAGTGAAGAGACACCAGGGGAGGGGATGTGCGAAGAGAGTGTGAAGGACCGGTTACTTGAGGAGAAGCAGGAGAAAGAGAAGAAGGAGGAAGAGGAAGAAGACAGCGGTCAGGGCTGCTCTCATTCCTCACCTCCTTCATCCACTCCGCCACCTGATGTGGCCGGCCTAGTTCAGTTTAACATGACCCTCATCAACTACATGGACCCCACAGCCATGACCCAGCTGAAGGAAGAGCCCTATTATGGAATGGGCAAGATGGCGGTGGGTTGGCATCATGACGAGAACCTGGTTCCTCTGTCACCAGTTGCTGTCTACAGCTATAGCTGCCCAGCAGAGCCAAAGAATGAAGGTGAGAGGTCTAATGTCTTGGGTAGAGCGTATAATATTGTATCAGATCCATGACCCCACAGGGCTCTAACACTGTGTTTCTGAGCCTTTTAGACTCCAAGGCCTCACTTTGTCCAAGACAATATTCAAAGCCCTCCTGTCTAAGCTGATATGTACCTCTAGTAATTCTGTTGTAAGAAAACAAATAAACTTAAAAATATGATGGCAGTTTACTATTTACTGTACATCTTTATTTTAGTGGGTTTTTAGCATTTTTATTTAAGATTATAATTATTATACCTACATTTATGTAATTTTAAGACTTATTGGGACCTCTCTGGATGTTTGCCAAGGTCCACTGGTGGACTCCAGAGAACAGGAAACAGGAAAATTATTATCTCATAACAATTAAATGTATTTATTTATTTGTTGCATGCATTGTTTATTGAATGTACTTATTTGTATGAAAAGAAAATATCCACAAAAAATATAACACAAAAAGAGATGTTTTGAAGAGCAGTTTTTGTCCATACATTGAATGTCAGTGGCAACCAAAACTATATTATTTTTCTTTTTTGTTCTGCATAAGTGTGAAATGCATTATTCGAATTTTCATTTTTGGGTTAACTGTCCCTTTAAACATTCCCACTCCTGTTTCATTCTCATTGAAGAGACAACAAATCCTTTATTTTTCTAGCTCACCGCTGAGAACCTAAAACATTTATTATGACACCAGCTAGTTCAAAACCATCCTTCACTTGATAGGTCGAATGTGTTCGTGCAGTCATTGTATGAACTTGTTCCATGAAGAAGGAGCCAGATCTTCCATATTTCACATGAATCTTACTGGAGACGTTTTTCTGGACATCAGTCTCTCTTCACGTCAGGCTAACAGCTTAGCATGCAGCTGTGTGTGCGTGTGTGTGTGTCAGTTCGACAGAACAGAGCGTGGTGTGCTAACCAGAACCACCTGCCTCACAAGCTCGGTTTCGCCAGTCTCTTACTGACCGATTTGACCTTTGACCTCCCCAGGGCCCGCTTCAAACAACGCATGAATGGTCTGTGTGTGTTTTTTGTGTGAATGTGTCAGTTTGTGTGGAATTATTCCACAGCTGTTCTTTTGGAGGTAAAATTGACCCCTCGGTTCCAGACTTCAGAGAGACTCCCCTGATGGAACCCGTGCAGAGCATTGCACAAAATGTTGCCTTCACTTTAGAGAAATCGCTATGAAATGCTGCAGACCAGCTGAAACGGATTGTTGCTCAGAAGAATTTCGCTTTGTACATCATTTATTTGTTGCTCTGTGTGTGTGTGTGTGCATGAATGGGTTTTATTTTTTTATTGTCCCTTCGGATAACATCTGTGTGTTGTATAGATTCGTGTTTCACCTGAACACGCTTTGAAGATGAATACCTCTCTGAAGCTTTTCATGATTCCCGTA